CTTCTGTCTGGTATCCCAGATCCCGATGGTGCCGTCGTCGCTGCCGCTGACCAGCATCTCCTGGCCCCGCTTGCTCACGTCTAGACAGTTCACGATCTCCTCGTGCCCGACGTGTCGCCTGATGCGCTGTCCGGAATCCACGTCGAAGGACGCGAGCGTCGCGTCTGCGGAGGCGGTGAAGATGAATTGCGAGTCGCGCGACCATTGCAGGTCGAGGATCGCGCCCTTGTGGCCCGTTATCTGTCCGTAGTTCTCGCAGTTGCCGTATGTTCGCCATAGCACTGCGTTTTGCACGCGAACTGGTTAGTCTGCATGCCCTTCATATCCAGGTGTGGGGAGGGAACGGCTTGGGGTAACAGTACATACTTATTGTTCTGTCCATAGATCCGGATGCGATGTTTCTCCCTGTAGGATCGAATCTGGTAGCGAAGACTTCGCCCGTGTGGCCTGCGTCGGAGCTAGTCAGTCGCATACTCTCACACCAACGCATGGAAATGTACAATCGGAAAACGGACCAGTCAACTCCATGATCGGGGCCTCGAGGCCACTCGTCCTAGGGATCTGCCATATGTCAAGTCAAGTCAGTCCAGAGCACATGCAAGCAACCGAACGGCTAGAAGTAGCAAGAAGAGAAAACGATGGGCAAAGGGAATCCTCTTTCTCAGGCAAAACATACAGCTTGTATCAAAGCGCCATTTTGTGTCGAGCTATTAACCAAAGCGACAGACGTCGCGCCGGCATTCTCCCCATCCCCCCTTGCGCGCTTCACGATCTGTGAGCTGCCGAAATTTTCTTGCGCCGGTCGTTTTTCTGCGGACATTGTGGTGATGATGAGCGCAACAGCAGCAGCTTGCGGAAGTTGAGTAGTTGCTGGTTGTCTAGAAGACTAGGGGATCTCCAACGATGATAGTAAACGGTCTGATGTCGAGCAGAGCGTTGTGCAGCCAGCAGTAGTCCCGGGCAATTGGTTCAGCGGGTGTATGGTGCTGTGATGGGTTTCTGTTCACACCTTGCCTGGACCTGTCAATACTTCGACGTCGTCTTCAACTTCGCTTCTCGCGGGTCTCCGCCGCGGCGATCTCGATGCGCTGGGATGGGCGGGAGGAGGAGATATAGCCGCTGTAGCCGCGGTTATCGTCAGATCACGCGCTTAGAGCGGTTGTCGCGGGCATACATACAGCAAACACGACGCACGACGGTCTCTATTGATGAAGGACTGAGATGATATTGGAGATCCGACGGGAGTCGCATGAGGGTTCTTTCTCAACAGTGTGAGAGGAGAAGTTTGAGAAAGAGAGATGGCGATTGAAAAGACAAAAAATTAAAAATTGAACGTCAAAAATTTGATTTGATCGACGAGAGCAGGATTCGAACCTGCGCACCCGAAGGTAATAGATTTCTAGTCTATCGCGTTAGACCACTCCGC